TCAAGGGTGGTGAGGGAGGAGGAGCCCCTGGAACGGTTTCTGGCAGTAAAAGGTGCCGTCCACGTTCCCGTAAGCTCCTCATGCACTTCCGGGAAGAAAGGCACTGGGGTGGGTTGCTGAGAACCAGCGCGCGCCACCCCGAGATACCAATCATCCAACCTCGAGGGTTCGGGACATGGTGGAGGATTCCACACGAGCCCGACCCCGTTGGCGGCCCGGGAGAGCATGGCCATCATCTCCGGGTCCGTCTCAGGCACCGCTGGCACCCCCGAAGGAGGCAGCGGTGCCGAGTCGTCGTCCGCAGAGAGGTCTGACCCACCCTCCGATGCAGCGATCGACATCTGGTCACTGGGAGCCCCAAAGGAGACAACCGGTACACACCTCGAGGATGGTCCAGCTTTCTCCAATGGAAGCTCAACTGGCTGCGGAGCATGAGAGGGGTGAGGGCTCCAAGGGGGTTGGTTCCCCGAAGGAGACGCGCTCACCGTGATCCTCAGGTCACCCGCGCCCCCGCCCGAAGCAACCCTCTGAGAAGGATTGAAACGAGGCAGAGGCACGGGGACTCCGCCCCTTTGCAGGAACAGGAGTCTCGACCGTAGCTCCGCGATGGTCATCTTCCCACAATGGGTACATGACTCATCCACAAACGCTGCCTCAGCGTGTTCAATGCCCAGACACACGAGGCAGCGTTTGTGACCATCCTGTGAGCCCAGGTAACGACCGCATCCAGAAACACACAAATAGAAAGTCATCTTTTTCTTTTTAAAAGACGCTCTCTATTTGTGTAAGCTCTTTTAGGGACTGCTCTCACTGGTGCTGAAACACGCAGGGGAACAGTCACTGCGAACACAGACAGGAATGTGCACTGTCTGTGCGCGATCTCTCTCTCTCTCTCTCTCGCTGTCTTACCAGCTGTGAAAACAGCTTTTGAGCGCTCGTACGGCGCACCTTACCAGCTGTTACAACAGCTTTTTGGTTTTGCTCAACACCCACAGACAGGAGAGAGAAAAAGAAGACTGCTCGCGCTGCCGTGCTGTAACGCCCGCACCGGGAAGGAGAGGTCCAAAGAAGAGGCTCGTAGTCACACTCTGTAGAATTAAACATGAAGCGTTTGGCTCCGAAGCAAAAAGCTAGTGTGCAATCATAACAGCTGCTGTTAAATACCCGCGCTGACGAGGACGCGCAGCTGATGCAAATGATTGCATGCCAATGTGCATTGGCTTGTTTTAGTTTCACTCGAAGTAGATTGGCCTCTCTAGCGAGATTCCTGTTGGTCAGTCTGACCTACGTTGTAGTGACTGACCGATAGGGAACCTGGTTTTAGTCTAATCAAAAATATTATACAGTGAACTAATCATTTAAAGGTGCTCTATGTAACTTTTCTACTAAAATGAATCCTTTTTTTATTGCCTGTGTGTGAAGGGGTTGTAATCACACATTAAAAAGATCCACTTGTCGAGTTTTGCTATTACCTCTGAAGGCCAGTATTCCTATTTCTATGTGAAGTCTCCGGGTCGGATTTACCGCGAAATCCAACGGATGTGACGTGCATGCGCGCTCCCGAGCCTCTCTCCTTATATACAGTCTATTGTAGACGGTCAGGGAGTTACGTCCGGTTAAAGGCGCACGTTTTTCGGCTTATATCTCAGTCAATCTTTGATCAATATTCCCAAGACTCTAATCGTTCGTAGTGCTGGACGGGGCCTTTCGAACGAGCCCACCCCCGAGGTCTAACTCGCCCGGCTCCCTGAGTTATAGCCGTTCGAAAACGGGGGTCCCAGCGAACGGCAATCCGGTAGGGGGCATCCCCGAGGCCCGCCACTCTAGCGTTCGGGTAAGGGTTCCCCTAGGACCTCCTCCCCCGAATTTGAGCTCTCTGGTCTTTGCGTTCCAGAGATACGAGCGATTTTCTTCTGAGATCGTGACGTCACCGGCGTCCGCAATTTTGCAGCGCGCCCGATGGTTTTCTGCTAATATCTCCGCGAAAACACCACCAAAAACTATGGAACTTATATGGTTCTTTTCAGCTCGACTAGATGGTCCAACGAGCTCGGTGCTCGCCGAATCCGTCTAGTATTCGCCGAGATATTTGCGTAATAGACGGTATTGTCTATGAGTTCGAGCACAAGCGCTCTTGTAAAATTTGGTTGCAATCTGAAACATCACCACTAGAGGCCGCTAAAAGTTACATAGAGCACCTTTAAAGGAATAGTTCACCTAGAATTTACTCACCCTCAAGCCATCCTAGGTGTTCATCCACAATGAGAGTTCTATTAAATAATAGCATTATAGTGCCCACAATAAAAATAAAGTATAAATAAAAATAAAAATATAGTGCCCACTTTAATTAAAAATAAAGCTCCAAAAAGCGCATTCATCCATCATAAAAGTAATCTCCAGTGGGTTAATAAAGGCCTTCTTAAGTGAAGCGATTTTGTAAGAAAAATAACCATATTTAAAACGTTTTAATCACTGGCGAGTTTATTGAGACAGAGGAGTTTATTTTTTACAGGCTGTGTGTCTTTCCTATGGCCTGATTCAAAGTGAGTTTGAGCTCTGCATTGTTTAAAGTCCTAAAACCATGGCAACCAGAGGCCTGTGCCCGGTTGCATAAAGGTCGCCCTTATGTTTCCCTTAAACCTAAGGGTGTTGCAGAAAAATACATCTTATTATAATATTACCGCCCTTTAATCTGCACGTTTCCACCCAGGGCGCCGCCATTTGGTTTTCACAAACGACAAGTTCAAGCAAAGCATGCAAACTGTTCTGTCGTTGGCTGCACAGACGAGCACACAACACTATTTGACCAAAAAAAAATGTCACAGCTGTCTTATAAAGACCTCAGGGATCTGTGTCAACTTGTGTAAAAGTTAAACATGACGGTACATGCAAGTCGATGAGGTGAATCGATGTAACTCCACAACAACTAAGCATTCAGACACTAAACGTTGAGTCTCTCCGTAAGGCTGCACTCTGCTACTGGTTATTTCTGAGGTTTTGGATGAGTGAGATTTGCATGTCTTGTTGATCGGCAGTCTTCTGAACGGGGGCGGGGAGTAGTAGCTCATTTACATTTAAAGGGACACACACAAAAACGGCGCGTTTTTGCTCACACCCAAAAAGGGCAAATTTGACAAGCTATAATAAATGATCTGGGGGGTATTTTGAGCTGAAATTTCACAGACACATTCTGGGGACACCATAGATTCATATTACATCTTGTGAAAAGGGGCATAATATGTCACCTTTAAGGGTTAGACCAGGCAGAAAAAGCCCCTTTATTGCTTGTTACCACTTTTTAAAGTAGTATGGTACTATTGTGATATGGAGAATATTGAAGAAGAGAGAGACAGACGAAATGGGGAAAGAAAGAGATGCATAGAGAATGAAGGAGCTAAACAACAATTAGTGGGACTTATCCCTCACAGTCGCCATGGAGATGGATGTGTATTCCACTCTGTTTAAAATTGTACAAGTGTAGCCAGCACACACTCAGGTCTGCAATCAGACAGACGCACTGAGGCTTTGGCTCTCATTCTCAAATCAAATACACAAGAACATCTGTATTCCAAAACATACAGCTCAGACACTGATGGGACACCGCTTGAAATAAAGCAGCACAAAGCTCAGTTCAATATTTAGATTTTATTCGTATTCCTGCAGAGATGCATAGACACACATGCCTACATAATACAAGATATGAACTGCTTTTTCTTTAGACATATAACATTGTACATGTTTATCCAAAAGGTACAGTGCTGTACCATATCATCTATTGGTGTACTGTATTAGCCTCTTTTTTAGCATGTCACGTCATCCCTGAAACACACAAACAAACTCACGGTTACTGGCTAAAGGCAGATACTGTTGGACTGTATAACTAGACAGTGAATGCACCTTCTTGATAGTGATACTCTGCTACATACAGCAGTACTGATGTTTACATGATGCATTTTTGGGCTCTAAATAACATGTTTCACTTGAACCGTTGTTACGAAACATAAGGCAACTATGGCAGACAACAAATCGGAAAAAAAAGCGTCGCACAAGAAAGTTGTTTTTGTCTGTGTGCGAACATGATTGACATCTCAACCATATAAGCCTTTCTTAACAACAAAGTATACTACTGGTTTTTTTGTATCATTATTATTATTATTATTAAAATTAATATAATTAGTAGTATTACAAGACAGTAGGCACAACTTGGACAGGTTATACAGTGTGTACTCGCAAAAAAGATAGATTACAGTGAACTAACATAGCAGAACAAAGTTTTCAGATTTTGGTCCCATCTCAACCAGCGATGTTATGTATATTGATGATTTCAAATGTAAGACTTCATGTAATTTGTATTACAGAAAATGATGGTTGGAAAAGCATTCAGCTGCTACTGGTGTTCTGTAATAAATCTGCTTTTTTTTACATTCATTTTCTTTGTAAGAAACTGCCTTCGAAATAAAATAAGTTTGGAAACCTGCTCTTGAAGATCCTGGTTTGAGGGTTATTTGTACAGTGATTAATGGGTCATTCTTACAGTTGTGTTAGTTGGCCTGTGATCTCTGGAAGATACTGTACAGACACAGGGTGGTTTCTACTTTTGTCCAAATAAAGACAAGCTGAGAATTTGTATCCTGAGGGGAGAAATGTTTTATAGATATCGATTTATATTACTGTTCAAAAGTTTGTTAGTTTGTTTTTTGAAAGAAATTTTTATTTTTATTCAGCAATATTCATTAAATTGATCAAAAGGGACATTAAAGACTTTTACATAGTTAAAATTTAATTACATTTCAAATAACTGCTGTTCTTTGGAGCTTTCTGTTCGTCAAAGAATCCTGAAAAATGAATAAATTCATAAAATCTTTAAGCAGCACAACTGTGATAATAACATTGATAACAATAATAAATGTTTCTTGAGCGGCAAATCAGCATATCAGAAGGATTTCTGAAGGCTCATGTGACACTGAAGACTGGAGTAATGATGCTGAAAATTCAGATTTGCCATTACAGGAATACAATTTAATTTTAAAATACATTAAAATATAAAACTGTTACGTTAAATTGTAATAATATATCACAATATTTCTGTTTTTACTGTATTTTTTATCAAATAAATGCTGCCTTGGTGAGCATAAGAGTCTTCTTTCAAAAACATACATTTTACAGACCCAAACTTTTGAACAGTAGTGTATCTAGAACAGGAACAGTACACATTTCTAATGGTCTCATAAGTTTCAGTCTGAATTTGCACTTTTAGATAGATAATCTTGACAGGAAAGACATATTGAAAGGTTTGTCCTCTAAAAGTCTCTTAAATGTTAGTCTCTAAATATACTAATAAAGTTATTTTGTAAACTTTCAGCATTAAACTAGCACTTACAATTATCCAATTTTAATGGGGTCTCAAGCAACATTGATCATCATTAATATTTTAAAGAGTTACTTCGGGTAAGATTTTTATGTGCCCTAAATATAAAAGTACATTAAAGATAGATTTTGACCAAAAGTACTCTATCATGCTAATACATGCCTGGCAGCTTGAAAACGGACAGATGATGATGATCCACATTTTACCAGTCTACAGGGGTACCGCACCCTTGACTGAGATAGATGATGCATGACTAATGAGAAGATGAATGATTGGTGAGCATCTCAGAAGAGTCCTATCAGGACAAAGCCCCTCAGGTCAGGAAGGAGACTTCTGCTTGAGTGTAGTTTGCTGGGGATGTGAGAGTGTCTTTACAGCTCTCTGAAACAAAGACACAAAGAGAGAAAACAGTTTAACCAAACTTACCATACTAATACACACGGTAGGGTCAGAGATATTTAGCCAGCAAAAATGTTAACGCAAGAGAGATGAAAGGGAATTAGGCCATGTACACACTGCAAGCTAAATTCAGTTGTCAATTTCCCCTCTAGTGCTTAATCCTGTTCTGTACACACACAGTTCAGCAAGTTACGGGAATGACAACCGCATTCTACAACCAAATTCTATGCAGTGTGTACGGAACCGAACAGTCTGTTCCATACCTAGTTGTGAATGACGCATTTAAATGCACATCAGATATCTGTCTCTCTTCATGGTAAAAGAAATCACAGGGAAAGAGGTACGAGTGTTTACTTGCTCGTGTTGCCAGATCTTGCAAGAAAACACAGAACAAGAAGCCCATAATAAACCTAAATAAATCAAAATGCTTTATATTGAAAATAAAACTGCCCACTTTAATAATGAAATAAACTTGATCGCTTTATATAATATACATCTATATATCACCTCATGACCCTAGCAACAAGCTAAAGTATCAAGGAATCCAAAAGTGCTTTTACCTACAGAGAATTATGCATATGAAGAACCAATCATGTTAGAAAAAATGATGAAATGAATCTTGTCACCTTTGTCATGCACTTATTCTATATAAACTGCTGTTCTCTTTTTGTTGGTGGGATTCTCTCTGAAATTGGTCTGAGATCCTCCTGGCCGTGATTAAAGCCTATTCAAAGGCATTGTCTGGAGTCTGTCTGGTTACTGCTGCGAAGCAGGTCAATGGAGAACCAGATACCTTATTACCGAGTGATAGTGTTCATAATGGGTTAGACGTTGTCCGACTTGAAGCAGGTGTCGAAGTGGAGATGCCTAGTAGAGTATAAATTTGTAGGTGTTGAAGTGGAGACGTCCCATTTAGTTTAAGTCAGGTGCTATGGGGAATTTCTACCACAAGGTGAAAACTGTCCCAGAAATTCAATAGCAGGGGGAAAATATTTCCTCTTAATAAAGTTAATATCTGAGACTGACTGATGTAAAGTGGTGTGATTTAGATCATTGAATCAAGCAAAACTTTAGACAACTGCAGATGTTTTTTAGGGCTGGGCAACGATTAATCGCGATTAATCGCATCCAAAATAAAAGTTTGTGTTTACATAATATATGTGTGTGTAGTGTGTATAATTATTTTGTATATATACATACACACACATGCATGTATATATTTGTTTAAAATGTGTTATTAATATATCAAATATTTATATTTATATATAATATTAATTATGTATAAATATATATAAAGTATATACATGCAAATATTTCTTAAATATATACATGCATGTGTGTGTATTTATATATACAAAATAATTATACACACTACACACACATATATTATGTAAACACAAACTTTTATTTTGGATGCGATTAATCGCTGCCCAGCCCTAGTTTTTATATAAGACTGTTCATATAGAAAAAGATTTCTGCCTATTAAAAAAAAGACTTCTGGGCTTCAGAAGCTTTGCAGTGAACTCAGAGACTCTGGGGAAGCCGTGGGGAAAACTTAGACCAAGCAAAACTTGGCGCTGCATTGTGCTAGCAAGTGTTTTTTGCTAGTTTCAGTCCGACATAGTTATCATTTTCACTTCCTGCGCCACATTTTGTTTGTGCAACATTTGTTTGTGCACCTATGGGCGTGTCAAACATGCCAAATATTAAAAGTAAAAGGATTAAAATGTAAAAGATATGGTGGAATCCGGCTTGTCCCGTAGATGGTCTGCTTGCGCACTTTTACCTCGCACACGAGTAGTTCCGTTTGCGCTCTGGAGACGCGTTCGGTCTTTCCACTATCAAATTCCGTCATGTAAATAGCGAATCTGCCATGGCGCGAGCGCAACTGGCATTTAAACGGAATGGGAGATGAGACTCTGATTGGTTTAACGCACGTAAATCCCAAAACACACCCAATACTCATTAATAGGGACAACCCTTTTAGGCCATGCGCCTGGCACGCCGACCATTTTTCCTGTTGTTAAACTAGCAAAAGTGGATTTGGACACGCCCTAAAGTGAACTTGGGCCCTGCGCTTTAGACCATGCGCTTAGATCGTTAAAATAGGGCCCTCTGTCTTTATTGCAAATAAACATGCCTTTGTGTGTGTGTGTGTGTGTGTGTGTGTGTGTGTGTGTGTGTGTGTGTGTGTGTGTGTGTGTGTGTGTGTGTGTGTGTGTGTGTGTGTGTGTGTGTGTGTGAGAATATGCATCTAAATATGCTATGTATTTAGCAAAATTGGCTTGACTTGTTTTCAGTTTTTATATGTTTCACACAACAAATAAACAAACAAACAAACAGAAGAAATGCCACGAGTCTCTGGCCTATCATTCGTACATATTTATTTTTAACATCAGCGATGACATTTCCAAGGATGGAGCATCTTTGTCTGGTGAGGGAATTATTGCCTGTAATCACTGTTCGTTTTCTGACAGGAGCACAGCTGCTGTCGCTCTGCCCCTCATTGACTCACAGAGTGCATCTGTCTCCACATCAGCAAGGAAAATTGCATGCTTTTCACACAAACAAGAAATCAACCATCACAGAATGTCTGAACGGCTTAGACGACCTCTGTTGGAATCTTCCAAGAATGGAGGGAAAAGGAAATCAAAAGAAGCAAGCATGCTAACTGGTGGGATTAATATTCATATTTCCTTTTATTGCCTCTTGAAATGAAAATTCATGTTCATGCTACATCAACTAGTCATAGATGAGATCACAAGACTATATTTAATTATGCATTTATTAATTTATGGAAATATTAATTAATTTACCCATTAAGTGAACACAAATGTACACTCAGGCTCAAAACGCAGTAATGGGGGCATAATAGAAAAAAAACTAGATGAAAACTGTAGCAATTCCCAGTTGCAAGAAATACTGCAATCCCAAGTTTTTCCGGTGTAATGTTCTGTTATGGATTTCAGATGATTTTTCCCACCTTTTCAGCAACAGGCGCTAATAAGCTCCTGTTTTACATCAGCAGACGGGGCTATGTAAAAGGTGGAATGTTTGCTCAAGCAGCTCGTGATCAAGCGATTATCTCCAGAAATAGACTGCCGGCAACCTGTCAGAGCTTTGGGGAATTTGGGGGCCGAGGTGCAAGTCAGTCAGGCTGAGATGAAGTCTGACTTGACAGCAGCCATTAATGAAGGATGTCGGGTTTGTCAAATGGTTTGTCCATCATGATGCTCTCCTTGTTTTGTGTTATGTTATCATCCTATTTTTCTCAGTTTTGAAATGTCAGTTACAGAATATCTGCACTTATTTTATGGCACTCTATAATAATTTATTCTGATCAATAATGGCAATTTGCGGTCAAATATTTTTTTTATAATGACCTTTAAACTGCACAGCTGAACAATTTCCTGGATATCATTGCTAGTTTCATGTCCCGGCCTCATTGCACTCAGCAGGCTCTTGCTTGTCATAATGATAATAAAATAATTTTGACTCAAAAGAAACAATGTCATACCTATTTATTTATTAATTTGGTAAAAAAAAAAAACACAGATAATCTACAATAAGCAGGTCATTTTTGTAAGATAAATCCAAATAAAAGACAAGACCTAACCCCTGATCATTTTGCAATATATATACAAACAGTGTTTCCCATACCTGTGGTGTCCTGCCATTTACAGTTTTTTTTTCAATTGCTTACACACAAAAATTAAAACTTTCCCACAATTAGCAAAACCTTACACTCAAGGAGCAGAATGACAAGTCCTTGTGTCATTGTGTACGGATAAGACAGTCAAATTGCTTAGTCATGTTGTCAATATAACAGTGTACTCTGGAGATGTTCTGATGTAAACTATGGCTAAAGTTTTGATGACAATTATTGTAAATTGTAGGTTACAACTATAGTGTATGTGGAAGTTTGATTACAAGAGACTGGACAAGATTCACATTTAACTGTTTGTACTGTAATTTGTTGACAAACCATGTCATTGCAATACAGAAAGGAAAGAAAGCACTGCATATAGCACAAAGAAAAGAAATGTGAACATGACAATCTCCTTAGGGAAAACTGTACATGCATATTATGACAACTTGTTCAACCATTTTGCATGTAAAGACTTATGCTATGAACTAATGCCTAAATGTTGTGGGGGGTGAGACTATTCAACAGAGACACATTATAATACATTTTGATCAACATGACATAATCAATTGATAATGTAGAAGCAGAAGATAATTGTACGTAATCATTTGCATGCATATCAAAGCATATGCAACTTGTTCAAAGAAATAAGAAACTGCTATTTTGATGTGCACAAGTGACACAATGATGTGAAGATTGAACAGGTAGTTTTGAGAATTTCAGTTATGATCTGAGAAATGTACCAAAGCGACTGAGAAAAACTGTAAAAGGCAACAGGTAAGTTCACCTGTCTTCAACAAAACTGGACGCTGTCAGAGGAAGAGGGAGAGTGTGGAAGAGGAAGAGGAAGACCTGGAGGAGGGATAGGACATGCACAAAGAAGAAGACAACCAAATCTGTGTAACAAAATTCGTGCTACAATTGTGGACCATGTAATAAACCACGGACTAACACTGAGGGAGGCTGGACTGAGAGTACAGCCTAACCTAAGCAGGTACACGGTGGCATCAAAAGTTCGGACATTTCGTCAAGAGCACAGGTGAGAGACTCCAGAAAATCCATAGCTTACTGCATGTACTATATCAACAGTTTTGGTATCTATTCCTGTATCATTTTACAGTAAGCTACATGTATTTTGTTTGGCCAACATAGGATTGAATGTCGAGAACACCAAGGAGCGAGGGGCCCCATATTCACACAGGAGCAAGAGAGAGAGAGAGAGAGAGAGAGAGAGAGAGAGAGAGAGAGAGAGAGAGAGAGAGAGAGAGAGAGAGAGAGAGAGAGAGATAGGTTGAGAGAGAGTCAGGTTGAGAGAGAGACAGGCCGAGTGAGAGAC